CAAAATAACCATCCGCTGGCATTTTTTAGTAAAACATTGAATCAGACACAAAGGAATTATACAGCTACAGAAAGAGAAACATTAGCCGTATTAATGGCTGTACACAAATTTCGAGTTTATTTCGGCAAATCGCCAGTAACAGTCTTTTCGGATCATGCGGCTGTTGGTAGACTTTACTCGGGGAAAAACCTAACGCCCAGGTTAATAAGATGGGCTTTAAAACTCCAAGAATATAATATCACAATAAAATATAAACCGGGTAAGGAAAACAATGTAGCTGACGCACTTTCTCGTATAAAACTGGACGATGAAGGAAATGAACTTAAATGCGCTGTGTTGACTTCAAAAATTTTAGATTCTAGAGATACGGTTATTACTGAACTGAAAGCTGATCCTGAATTTGGAAATATCTATGCTTATTTGAAAGACCCCGAAAGCTTTGAGCACACAGATATCGATGCGATAAGAAATAGAGCAAAAAAACTATGAAATAATAGATAATTTATTATTCTATACGAAAACAACAAACGAAAATCTTGAGTATAAGCCAGTCATCCCAGCCTCGCTTCGATTAAGCATTTTGAAGGAGTTGCACGAAGCAAAAAAACAGCGGGCCACCTAGGGGTCAGAAAGACTTTAAAAAGGGTACGCGAGGCGGTATATTTCCCGCAATTATACAAAATAGTAACGGCGTATGTCAGGTCCTGCAATCAATGTCAGTTAATAAATGATATTAATTACAGCCCGGCCGGGTACTTAAATAGCATTCGCGCTACATTTCCGAATGAAATTTTAGGCATAGATCTCCTTGGTCCCTTCCCCCAGAGCGAGTTAAATAAAAATCGTTTTCTTTTAGTAATAGTAGATCATTTTTCAAAATGGACAGAAATTGTTCCACTTAAACGCGCGCGTCAGCCAAAACAGTCGCAGATGCATTCTTACACAGATACATTTTAAAATACGGTGCACCGATAAAAGTCATTAGCGATAACGGAAAACAATTCATTAGTCAAATATTTGAAAACATATGCAATGGACTTGGCATACGCCATATCAAAATGGTTCCGTATAGACCACAGGCTAACATAGCAGAAAGAGTTAATAAAAACATAGTAAAAATAATTCGCAGTTACGTGAGCACACATCACAAGCGCTGGGATGGCTACATAAATGAATTAGCTTATGCTTTAAGAACGGCACATCATGATACTACGGGAAAAACTCCAGCAGAATTATTTTTAGGCAGAAAGTTAATTACGCCTTTAGATAAATTATTCTTTGTGCAACAAAGAGAGCAGGAGTTTAAACAAAAAGATGTGCAAAAGCTGATTGATCAGGCGCTTAAAACCTCGGATACGGCAAGAAATAGGCAGAAAATATATTATGATAGAAAACGCCGTGAAGCAGATTTTAAAGTTGGGGATAAAGTATTGAAGCGGAAATTTTCTTTATCAAGTGCCCCAGACAATTTTATGGCAAAGCTAGCTCCAAAGTTTGAAGGCCCCTATGTAATTCAGGAAATCAAAGGAGTAGTCTTATATCTTAAGAACGAGAGAGGGGAAATCTGTAAAGCAAGTCCCGACCAGGTGAAAAAATACTATAATCAATCCAAATGATTTTGAAATCCTTAAAAGTTTCTTGCAGGACTCAAGTCTAAACGAAATAGAAGGTCCAGAGACTACAACAACTATTCCACCACCCAAGAAACAGAGAACTGAAGAGAGACCTAGCACTTCTACAACCCCCGGACGTCGGTATCAAAAAGAAAAAATAATTTTCAAACTCCAGCGTTTAAGAAAAACAAAAATACAGATGAACCGGGTAAAGAAACCGTGGTAAAGAGAAAAACACCACCTACAAAGGATTGCAGGAGAAATTACACATCAAGGAGAACGCGCACACGGCCACAGAGTCAGGTGCCAGCAAGGCCGCCGTTCCGGAAACTGAAACGCCAACAGGAGGCACAAAAATACGAGGAACAGAAGAAATTCAAGAAGGACTCCAGACCGGAGGACGTCAAGACCAGCCGTCCCAGGGAGAAACGGAAATGCCAACAACCAGACGATTACTCCGCCAAGAGGCCAGCATGTAGAGGACGCAAAAGAAAAAGTGTGGACGACACTCGGAGATCAGTAAGGAGAAGATTAACATCCATGAAACCTCTAACTTGGGACAATTTTGCCAAAAACGAATGACGGAGTTTCAAGCATCGAAAACTCAAAGATAAGTTAAAACCTTCTATAAATTTTTTTTCTCTTTTGTTCCGAAATGTTATGCATAAGTACGAAGTTCTATGTTTTGACGAAAGTCAATATGTCTCGGTTGAGACTTAGTTTTGTTTTACTTTATTTAGCTAAGGCAAAAGTATTATTTTCTTTAAGTGTAAAAGCTAAAAACAAGCATTTTCTGTTGGTCGAAAGACTAATTCTGTTATGTTAAAGCCAAAATTTGGCCGAAGATAAAAATAACTTCGTATTCTTGTATTAATAAGAATTTTAGTTTCAGTGCCGCCAGCTTGGCGAAGAATGAGTAAAGTAAAAATTTATTTTCTCTTATTCATTTTATGGTAAATTGTAAAAATCATATGTATTAAAATTTTGTAAATGTACGTAAATACTTGAATGTTATGTAAAAGTAGAATTTAGTCTAGAAGCATAAAATTGTAGATGCTAAAAGTGAATGCTTAAAAGCAATGAAGTCAAAATTTAAGTATTAAACTGTAAAGTCATGCTTTAGAGCGAAAGCCTGCATGTTTAAAGATGAATGAGGGGGAAGTTAGAATGAATGTGTTTTGTAGGGTTCTCCACCTACATTTGAATTTTTAAGAATATTAAAGTAGCTCATTGAGTTGTAGAATGTCGAGTAAGGTGTGTCTATTTGGTCGTTGAATTCTAACAAATCATGGTGGTTAGGGGAAGTGTTGTAAGACTAAAACACGAATATTCCCGTTTGACACCACACACGGTGGAGAGCCAGGGTAAAGTTAAATTAATGCTTGAAAAATTGAATGAATGTGAAGTAAGCAATAACTAAGAAAAACGAATCGTTTAAAAACAAAAATTTATTGTGTCAAGAAAGTGTAAATTATAATGTATGTAGAAAGATACTGATACTTATTCCTTCCAGATGCTGGAAGGAAAGACCAAGATTGATTGATGAAGTCCAGGAAAAGTTGCTGTAAGAAGAGAAGCTTTGTAACGAGTCAACAGAATTTTAGTATTGTTACATAAGATTTTTTTTGTGTAAACGAGGTTCTCGCCAGTTAGTTCAGAATTAGAGAAACTTACAACAGGTCGTTTGTAGGACCTGCTTCCAAGTTTTCCAAATTCTGGCAGCGGCAAATGTAGGGTTTATATTTATTTTAACTAACATTTATTTTAAGTTTAAACTATCTTTCCTGTCAAGCCTTACTTTCCCCTGGAACTGCCAATGCCAGAATATGTAAATTTGAGTAGAACGCGCAAGGATTCAAATTATCAGCGGAAGTATTATGATTTAAATAGAAGGAAACGAGTTCGGTGTGTGATTATTCTTACTTCACGAGCGCGGAGGTAGTTAGCGAGAATTGAAGAACCCCGCGTTGCGGCCTATGTGCTTGGCGGGAAGTAGTTGCAATCGTTCCAGTGAGCTTCAAGTCTGCTGAATTAGCAGCGGTATTGTAAAACGCGGTGAGTTAGTTATTTTAGAGAGAGCCTCGTAGTTAGAATCTTGTCTTTACTTTCTTTTCAGGTTATTATTTTTATTTGACTGCCGAGTTGGCACAGTCTGTAAGCGTCAAGAGCACGCAATTGTAATTTATTACGTTGAATAAAAAGGGACTTAAACCCTTTATAAGACTCTGTGGTTTATACAAGCTTTCACAGTCACCTCTAGGTTGCGTGCTAGTTAGAGGCGCGCAACGTTATAAGACGTATTAATGTCGGTACACACGATAATATTCAAAACACTAATAGTCTGGGTTAATATATTGTTGATGACGAGATGCAGCTGCATAATGGTTAAGGGAAAAAAATTAAGCAAGTTCAATAAATTTATCTTTCAGTGTATTTCACCATCGCAGTTCCATAGTAACAGGCAATCATACTGATAGTTTTGCACGATTTAACGTATTAACCAACCATATATATATATAATTATTTTTAAATTTTTGTCACTTCTTCTTTAGTCGGTTCTCTCCAGGATGCAAGTTAATTAACGTATATTCGAACACATATCTTGACAATGAGCTTTTTACAATGAGCCCTGATTTTTCTACGAAGTACCAGCTCCTATATTATCTAGAGTAGATTTGGCATCTTATTAGACATGCTTGCTCGCGTGATTACTGGTACAGGTAGTAGAAATAGGCCAGGATCAGAATTTCAATATTGGTCGTGCAGATATAGTCCTGCCGTGCTAATTCTGCAATCTTTTCCCATATTTTAATGGACATCAACCCGGAGATCACCCAGCATTCTTTCCCTATCGCCAAACCATTCGAAAGAAATTTCGGCTCTCCAGAAGTTTAAGTGACCCCATGCAGCACAGACACTATACTCTTACAAACATCCTTCTCCCGTATTCGAAACCAGCACCATAGGTTACAGAAGCTTATGTCGCTAACCCCTATACCGATTAGGATGACTTGTAATACACGAGATGTGCACTTTGCTAAATTCTAGTAATTATTTTTTTTTTTAAACTTTCGTCCGTGTTAGTAGGGACATTCATTGGAATTCTAAGACGGGGCTGACAGTCAATTGGCAACAATTGGCTGACAGTCTACATGAAGCCAGAAATTGGTTTTGAAATACACAGTAGTTTAATTTTCCCAGATCACAATTTCAATAATTTCCTAATTTTTCATTTATTTAAGTGTTTTCTAATACACATAAATTATTTTGGAGAATTACTTTTTTCCCGAAATAAATTCAATATCGTATGAAATAACGTGAAATGAGCAATTGCTATCAAAGAGGTATTATACAGGATAATGTTGTATATAAAAGAAAAATATGAACTAAATGAGGATAATTTTTATTAGTCTAGCAACAGGGATCCAAAATATTTCCAATGTTTATACATTCTCGTTAAATACATACGTACTTTTAATTTCGAGTTTAAGCATTGTTTATAAATTTTGAAAATTGGTTAAAAAATAGTTCTGTTTATTTTATAAATAACTAGAAATTTTGAAACTGTGGTCATTTTTGGGCAATGTCATTAACTGAGTTCTTCGTTGCAATAGTGGTCGCTGTATCAGCCATGTTCATAAGCGAAATTTGGCCACTACTACTAATGGGAGCAGCGCCTAATTTTGTTATTAATGAACTGTCAAAGTTTCCTTCATCCACTGAAGATTTAAACGGAGATTTAATGGGCTTATTTCTGGATTCTTCATTCAATAGGGTCAGACTTTTAGACTGGTAAAAGGCTCTTTCTAATTCGTTAGTTGTCAGCATTTGATCGATACGTTCACATTTATCAGTAGTTATGATTCTCTGCTTTAGTCGGGCAGTGTCTTCTTTAGTTAAAGCAAAGTCGTTGGCTGCTTTAGTACATACGTCTTGAATGATATCTTCTAGAGATCTTGATTTATTTGTGTCCATAATCTGAGTGCTAACATCTAAATAAAGGGAAAACTGTGATGAAATACATGTTAAATTAATAATTCAATAATATGTGAATAATTTGGAATTAATAGTTTGAGCACATGGGGAAGTAAAGCCCTTCTGAATAAATATAAAACAATATAAAATAACTATTAATTGTATAACAATATAAACAAGTGCTATAATTCCACTTAAAGCATGCCACATTGTTTGAAAGTACTGCTTCAGTATTCTGTTACAGATTTTTTTCATTCAACAATATTAGATAAACAATTTTGGAATGCTACAATATTTTAATAATGAAGATAAAAACATAACATTTTTCTCACAAGCGAAACGTAAATTTATCTTATAAAATTTATATTTCCAACTGTAAATATCGAAACATTTACAAAAATTGACTTAAGTTGTACAGTCATTAGGTTTTTTTGGAAGTAAGAAGCATGAAAAATGAGCAATGTCCTCCCCGGGACTCGAATCTGCACCTCTTCAATACGTGCCGATTTTGATACCGTTATTCCACAAAGACATGCAGAAAGAATGGAGAAAATATTTTATATAATCCCCTTTTTAAGGGCGATTGGGAATTAAGGGACCTAGTCGCCAAATCCTGTTGGTAAAGAATCATTATCCATGTTTTAGTTGAGCGCCACTGCAGAGTTATTAGATTCTTTTAAAGTAGGAAACACGAAAAACGAGCAATGGCCTCGCCGGGACTCGAACCTGGACCTCTCGAATACGCGTCGAGTGTGCTACCGTTACAAAACGAAGACATGCAGAAAAGAGAAAGAAAATACCTTATAAAGTTAGGGCGACGACAAAAACAAAAAGTGCCAATGTTCATTGTAAAAAAATGTCTTTCAGAATAAACTGCAGAATTTTTGCAAAGAGAGTTCTAAGAGTATTTTCCGAAAATGGATTTCAACTGGAAAAACAATTTCTACACTTGTTAAAAAGTTCCATGAAATAGGAAGTGGAAAGAAGTGGAAATGATCAGCAGACAGGAAAACGGGTTCCCAGAGATTCGAGGTGACTGATGAAAATGTGGCAAAATCGAGACAGGTGTATAGTAAAGTGCTGTGAAAGTTCTACTGGATGGTGATTCATACAGCTAGGCATTTCTGTATGGACTTTACAGTGAATGCTTTAATACTTGAATGTAGCTGCTAGTAGTACTTAATAGTAGTAGTACTTAAATGGTCATAAGTTGAAATAAAATTCATATTAAATAATTGACAATTAAAAGTATAATGAAATTTCTAAATAACAACTTAGAAACATGCTACTAACAGTTTAAAAAAGAATAAGGAGTAACATAATAAGCTTAATTTTTTTCTTGTTACCAAGGCTAAAAATTACTACCTTCTAAGCGTTCCTCTAGAGAAGCGAAAGAGCTATCTTTGATATCTTCGGTCTTTATAGAACTTTCATCTTTTGTATTATTAGTTACAGATTTTCTACTATGCTGCTGTGATATTTCTTCTGAACACTTTTCTTTTAGCACCACATCCAGATCCTTCGCTTCATAGATCTTTCTCGTCCAGGTCTTGTACCAACATAGGAAAATGACGATGAACAAAACAAAAACAACTATAGAAAGAAATATACAAAAGTATGGATAAAGCTGTAAATATGTAGTTTGTTCCTTGGGATGTCTATCATTTTGATTAGCAGTGTTAATTCCAGTATTATTCAGAAATAGAGCAAAGTACTTCGTTAACGTATTGAGAGACCTAAGGCCTACGTCAAAATTTGTTGATTGATTTCCTGCGTTCCTATAGGTATCCCTTAATACAAAATCCTCAACATATTTTTCTGTTATTGGAAATATTTTTGCAGTTGATTGCAAAGTTATATTATAACTGCCGAGAGGTAATTTAGTTTTAGAAAATATTTTGCTACTTGCTGCTTTAGATCTTTTTCCTTGGTCTGTGTTACCAAGATCCATGTTCAAAATTCCTCTCTCAGTTTTTTCTTCCATTGCATCAGTGAATTCATTGGATTTAAGTAATGTGATTTTCTTCAACACCTTTAGGATATCTAAAATTTCAGAACTATCATTTTCTTTCATTTGTTGTGTAATAGTACTACGGGACGCTGAAGTTTCTGTTATATAGCTTTGAAGTATAACCCAGTCATCTGGCTTGTAGTTATGTGTTTCTTTTCGGCTATTTCCTTCCAAGCTTTTTAACGGAGTTTCCATTTGTCTGTCTGCAGAATCGATAGGTTTTACTAGCATTATCCTTTTTGAACCAATAGATGTACCTTCCATTAGTGTTTCCTCTGTATTCGATATTTCTTTCATCATTCCCTTCTGTTCTGTTGCTTCGTCGCTTTCCTTTTCTCCAACTTTAAGTACCTCTTCTTCTGTAGAAATTAAATCTTGCATTTCGTTTTTCATCTGATCCTCTTCTGGACCTTCTGCATTTTCTTTCCATTTAATTCTTCTGTTATTTATTTTATTCTCCATTTTATTTCTATTTCCAAACATAATGTTTTCTGAGCCAGTAAATTTGTCTTCCAACTGCCTATCTTCTGCATTCGTTATTTCTTTCTCAATTCCCCTGTCTTGCTCTGTTGCTTCATCACCATTCTTTTCTCCAACGTTAAGTTTCTCTTCTTCTTTTGAAAATAAATCTTGCATTTCGTTTTCCATTTGATCCTGTTCTGGACTTTCTGCATTTTCTTTCCATTTAATTCTTCTGTCATTTATTTTATCCTCTGGACTTTTTTCCATTTTATTGCTTATTCCTAAAATAATGTTTTCTGAGCCAGTAAATTTGTCTTTCAACTGTCTTTCTTCCGCATTCGTTATTTTCTTCTCAATTCCCCTGTCTTGCTCTGTTGCTTCATCGCCATTTTTCTTTTTTCCAGCATTGAGTACATCCCATTCTTTCGTAAATAAATCTTGCATTTCATTTCTTATTTGATAATTTCCTAGGTGTTTTATATTAGCTTTCCATTTACTTTTAACATCACCTGTTTTGCGTCCCTGTTCTACGTAACTTTGAATGATTTTTTTCTTCCCGTTTTTTATTGGCGTAGATGTGGAAAACAGATTTTCTTCTTTTTCCTTGTGAATTTTGTCCTCAGATATCTTCTGTTCAATTGTTCCTTCATTCATCCCCTTTCCTTTGGATTTATTTTCTTTTATTTGGGGTCTTTGTTCCAGATCTCTTATTATATCATCCATTTGTATATCGTCTTTAGTTTTTGCTTGTTTTCCCACTGCGCTATTTTGGAACAGAAATCCTATAGGTTCCACCTGCATTTCTTCAAGATTCTTCTTTCTGTTTTGTATTCTTTTCTGTGAAACTTTTATATTTGTTTTCAGGTCTGACCCTTTTTCATTCACATCAACTGCTGTGCGTGCATTATGTGATTCTTTATCATAATGTGGTTTTACTTTTGTTTTCTTATGAGAATGAAGTGGTTTATCTTCGCGCGGAATATTTCCTGAGGTACCTTTTTGATCACTTCTCATTCTCTCAATGTATCTCAATAAATCTTCAACCTGTTTTGCTTCAGAGTGAAAGGAGCCTCTTGACAAATTATCTAGTTTTCGAATTATTTTATCAAGACCACGAAGAATGTTGGCATTCACATCAAGTTCTTTTGCATATACAGTATTCAAATAAGTTTTTGGAAGGATTTTAAACTTTTTATTCAGCTCCGTTGAATTTTTTGTACGAATTTGAAAGCTTGATCCTAAAGTAAAATGTCCCGTATTAAGTTCCTGGGTTTCTCGTTTTACTGGTGGATAGCTTTCTCCAAAGTTCGATTTCCGTGATTGGAATTCATCTATTCCTCGGAGAGGTAAATTAGGCAAATTTTTAGGCTGAAAATTAAAATTAGTAATAAAATTATCTAACTCAGAATTTCTGTTTCTCATGCTTTCATGACGAGTTTTGTAAGGAATTCTGCGTTTAATCAAAGACTTTATTCCAGTAATGGGGCTTTTATAAGTAATAAATTTGTCGTTATCATCTCCATGGAATTTGTCACGCTGACGGGATAAAGCAAGTTCTTCATTTTCATTAGATTCTTCTTCATATTCCATAATTCTGTCGGTCACAGACATGTCATCAATATTTCTTTTGAGTCGATTAGCATGCCTGCTGTTAAATATTTTATGTACTTCGTGCATTTTGAGGGAAGAAAGTATTTTAGGATATTTTACATTTTTAATTTCAGAAGAATTCAAGGATTTACTGGAGATATTGGTCAGTTTATGAAGGCTTAAGACTTTTGTTGGAACATGAATTCCTTTGATCAGAAATTCGTTTTCATATTTACTATTTAACGCATTTTTTACCAGCTCCAAGAATTTAGAAGAATTCCTTCTGTCGATACTTTTAGGATAATCTTCGTTTTTTTTTACTTTAAAATGTTGTCTGGAGAGGATATTTTCTAATTTCATCACCTGCGTCGAAGAAAAAAAAAATGAAAGGTAATATAATAAAAATAGAATATATTCCGCTGTTAAACATAATTTTAATATAATAAAAATAGAACATATTACACTATTATAGTCAGTTTTTTCTCAATAAGTGAACTAACATATGTTCTCATCTCCTCTTATTAATTAAACATTCAGAGCATTAAAGCAAATTAAATGAACGCAACACAGAATGTGCTTAAAATAAGCAAGTATAGAGTGGACGTGGAACTTGTATTAGAAGCTAACAGGTTTTTGTTCTTATGCGTGCAACTACTGAAGACACAATACAATTTTAATTGGTAACGTTCCAGATGTGATAACTTCAAGCTTTGCACTTTTAGCCCATGAACAGACCTTAGGATCAACATTTATTATGAGTACCTATTTTGTACTGGAACAATAATAAAATGCCTTAAAAATTTCCACTGCGATTTAAAACAGATTAATTGGTGCAGCATAAACCTTTACTAATCTGCTAACCATAAAATTGAAGGAACAGCTCAGAGAAGCAGACAGGCTAATTTACATTCCAATAAAACTTTGGATTTGAATGTTGGGGAATGTAGCTTCTGACAACATACCTAAATGAACAGCTACGGAAGACATTTACTACTATTAGAATATCCCAGAGAAGTTCTCAGTTGAAAACGAAATTATCTAAGGAAATTAATGGTAAGTTACAAGAGAATTCAGATGAAAATGACTGGCAACTGAGTGTAAATTTTCCCCTGAAAATAATGAACAAACTGCTCAGTAACAGACCGTACTTTATGCAATATATAATGGACCATGGTACGTTTATCGAGTATCCATTCTCCTTCAGCTTTAATGATAAAGACTTATGCTGTTGTTGAGAGACAGACAACTTGGACTAATTGTCCCTTTATATTTTACTTCCTTAACTATATCTAATTTCTCATAATGTCACAATCTTACATAACATAATGTCACAATTTTACCTAACATAATGTCACAATCTTACATAACTCTTTGGTATGCAATTCTATGTCTTTGGGTATGTAATAACGTGTCTTTGGGTATGTAATAACGTTAGTTGAAGTGTAGGCAAAGACACATATCATGTCTGTGCCTACACTTCAACTAACGTAATAACATTATAATGAATGCACTCTGTATAACGATAATTTTAAGATATTTACGTATTGTATAGTCTCCATAATGACTGTATAATGCCTGCATACGTAACTCCATAATATTTTATGCTATATAAAAATGTACAAAATACTCTATCTTATTAATACTAGAATATTTATTTAAAGCGAGATCATACATTCCTTTCTGCAGCTCTGTTTCAGAAACAATGACTAGACAGTTCCATCATTCAGGAGTGTAGATGTCTCCACTCCCCCATTAATAAGGAATTTATACTGATAGGCGCTTTAGGCTATGTACGACAGACGGATTAACTAAAATACAATCACGAACATTAATACTGAAAAATTTAAGGCTCAAAAGATTATAAATCTTTTTTGAATAGAATATAATATACCTGTATTTACTATTATTGTTACGTTATTTTCTTTCTTCCTTTACGTTCGTACAAGGTTCGTGCGGATTTGGAGTGAATAAGGACAACAGCACTTGATGGAATATCGAAAACACTTTATTGGACAGTATTTTCCAAGACAGCTCCAAACACACTTTTACAGTCGTCAGAAAACTACTATTACGCTGAAACAATCGGCGACACAGCCTACAGGCCGTAACGGTGGAGACAGCTTCACGGCAAAGCACCAGAGTATAACTCCCGACTCTGCCCGGTCGTTCTTGGAACTCCACGTACTCTTGAGACTCTCCACGCTACAACTCGGGATGCACTCGACGATACACTAGAGTACAGCTCCCGACTTCTCGGTTCAGTCGTTCCCGGAGCTCAATACACTCTCTCGACGCTGCACTAACTGCGATACACTAAGAGACTCTTTCGGTGCACTCGACGACCAATTCAGCCCTCACTGACTGTCTATCAACTCGATGGACTCTCCGCACGGACTAACTAACTCTGCGCGTACCAGAAGGTTCTCCATCAGTCTATAGCATACAGACAATTTTGTCGCCAAATGTGGCAAGCCTGCCTCCCCTTGTCATTTTCTGGCAACCCTAAACTTGCTTTGCGTATCTTACCGTACCTGTACATTTCGTAACAGTATACTTTAAATATATTGGACAATTTCTAAAAGTATTATACTATCAGTAGTACAGTATTTATAGGAATTATTCCAAAGATAATATCAGGTACATTTAAAAGCAATTGAATACATTCTGAAAGATAAACAAATGTAAGGTTATACTTTAATTAACTTAGCTTTAAACTAATTCTTTTATATTGCTGGTCCCGTCTTTTACCTTCAAACCTAGAATACTAAAGTAACAACAGAATAAAAATAAAACAAAAATATTTATTTTCAGTTTAGGTGGAAAATACAGGAAAACAAACCATTAGCAAAAAAAATTAGCTTCCGCTTCTTACATGTCAAGCAAACAATAATGTTATAAATAATTTATACATTAAATTTCAAATGCAGACTATTTCCTAGTAAGGTACCCAACAGCCAGGAATATTATTTCAATCAAACTAACCACGTCATAGCATTACGTTAAAGGTAAGTAGCAGCACAGAGTTTCTGGAAGTTGAGGTTGAGGTTGTCAACTTTTTTTCCTAAACTTTGATTCTCGCTTGTTATTTAACTTTCTTAATATTTTCTGGTGAGATATGTAAAACAGTAGCAACTCAGGAAATAATCGACGTAAGAAATAAAATGATAAGTTAAACCGTACAAATACGTTGCAAGCATACTGGATTTCACAATATATTTCCTTGCAGCAAAAATTATGTGCACTGAAAAAATTGTGGTTTTCATGCTGTTACAATACTGAAGTAAAATATAGTTTTTTTTAAATCAATGATAATGTAACTGATATCAAAAGGCGTCAAGACTAAATATTATCTGCATTTAAATCTTCTGTCGAAAACATTACAAAAGAATCCACAGATAAAAAAATCTACGTAAACGAGGACACATAAAATTTCCACCTAAATGATATTCAATTTACTTTTAAGCTGCATATCTTGGTAAATAATCTACCTTTCCTTAAGCAACAAGTTTTAGTTTTCAGTTTTATTTGCCAGTGAGAAACATGACGATTTGAATAAGTGACGGTTTTTTAATATCGCTTATTCAAAGTAATACTTTTTTATCCAAGGATTTTGAACTTTTTGACCGAGCAGTGTCTGAGTGGATAAATCCTTTGCCAGCTCTTTTTAAAGATCCGCAAAGACATTTTTTATCACAGTAAAATGCTCGTTTGATATGATCGTAGCTGTGTTGTTTGATATGATCAAAATTATCTAAATCTGGTTGGAACATTCCATATAAACACATTTCATTCAGTTCTTTGTTATCATATTATCGTCTTAGGAGAAGTTCTGAGTTTTGCCAAAATTCAACAGTACCATATATTACAATTAGGTTAGCTTAAAAAGTTGAGAATTCTAATTTTATGGGGATTTGCTGGCATTTGTTGGTGAGCTCACAATTGTCTTCGGACACTATAGCTGAGGAAACCTATTTTACTTTTTCACTTAACGTCAGATTTATGTAAATTATTACAAAATTAAGTACATAAGATATAAATAACTAATTACTAAGTAAATTACTTAGTAATTAGTCTAGTTAGTTAATACGTCTTCTCTTTATTATCTAATTCATTTAGACGTTTGAATAAATATTTATATAGAATGGTAATTATGTAAAACGGATAATTACAATAAAAGTTTAATTCTTGAAAGAGTATACATTCTGAGAAATAAAGTAAAACCTGAAAGTTTTCAGATTTTGCATTGCTTTTATATGCTCATAATCATGTTGCATACGGAAAAGCCATACCACCAATGCAGCCAGATTGTTCACGAAGATTTAAATTAGTTTGAGCTACCAGAGTTCAACACTGTTGTCTACGGAGCCAGTTGTAGGCATTTAAACAGTTTAAAATTCCAGTCGAAATTGAAAATTTGTTTCTGGAGATCTCCTATATCAATGAATGGTTTAGAAATAAGTATCTTCAGTTACTAAACAAATTTTGCAGAGCAAGAGCGATAAATGATTTCAGTTTGTGTTTAAACGTAAGTTAATGCTAATTTCTGCTTTGTATATTTTGGAAACTCTTTTTAACACATTTCAACTTAAATATCAGTTAATCTAGTATTTAGTACTACGATTTAGTTCTTCAACAAAGATTTTATCTTTCTGCAAAAACTGTATTTAAAAAAACTCTTAACTATTAACTACGTTTAATATATCTAAGCCTTTCACTTTTAAGAATCCTTATCAATTAACGTTTGTGAAATTTGAAATCGTATTTGAAAAGTTTTTAGTTTGTTATTTTACTCATTATAATGTCAAGTATCTTTAATATTTGCAAATCGCGAAGTCCTACGAATTACCTGCAAGTTATTCGTGAAGAACATACCAAACAGAATAATTTTAAAATACACTCATGTCCATAAATTAAGGATAATGCAAAATCAGGCAAAGGAAGCGTTAGAAGAAAAACAAATTTGACTTATTTGTAAAGCTTATTTATTAAACAAAAGGTAAAGAGCAAAAAAGATGTTATATGTTTGATATTATTTAAAAAAATAGCCATTTTTTCTCCCTGGAGCAAATTACAAAAAAAAAACCTATTTACAAAAAACCAATATTACATGGTTGGTATGATTGTTAATACATTGTATGTCTCCCAGACGATGCAATACAGTCCGTACAACGCCTAGGCATGCTGAGAATCAAATTATCGATCTGATCTTGGGGGATATTACACCACTCAAAAAGCAATGCTCTCCGAAGTTCCGGTAGACATGTAGGAGGAGGTTGATGGGCTGCAACTCGTCGGCCAAGCATGTCCCACACGTGCTCTACTGGATTCAAGTCCGGTGAGAATGCTGTCCAGTCCATACGGGT